GAGGAGAAACCGCAAGGTAATCAATCAGAGAGGACTGGATATGTCTCACAGACTGCAGTTGCTCTGCGGTGTCGGGTTATGCCACCTCCTTGCCTTAAGAATCCATATGTGATGAATGAGTCCGAGACAGCTACTGACCCTCTTGGATATCAGAGGTCAAAGTGTGCTAGTAAGTTTGCTGTCACAGTTTGCCTAAAATTCTTACTCAAGAATTTCCTGAAAGGCTGAAAAATCACAAAGGTTCTTTAATTTGGTTTGAATGTACTGTTATGCAGGTTTTTTCTCTGCAAGTGTAGGTGGGAATGGCTTGTCAAGATATCTCACAGACTTTCATGAAATTCAGGTAAGCGAAAGAATGTTTCTTTTAACTTGGAATTATGATGATGATGGAATTATGTTGCTTCTGCTAACGTAAGTTTTTTTGGTTTCTCCAGCAAATTGGTGCTGGGCATTTCAGTCGTGTATTTAAGGTGTTGAATAGAATTGATGGTTGTTTATATGCTGTGAAACACAGCACAAGGAAGTTGTATCTAGATTCAGAGAGGTAAATTTTTTTAGTAAAAGAAAGACATTTCTGCACTAAAATTAGTTCATCTTTGTTTGGATCAATTGGTTCAAGTAATATTTACTGAGTTTATTGCAGGCGTAAAGCTATGATGGAAGTTCAAGCTCTTGCTGCTTTAGGTCAGGACAGTCCCATGTTTTGCCTTCTTATCCTGAACCTATACTGCTATTTCCTGTTTGCAAGCTAAGATCTTCTATCCTTTTCGTATACAGGATTTCATGAAAATGTAGTTGGATACTACTGCTCGTGGTTTGAAAACGAGCAGTTATACATACAACTGGAACTCTGTGAACACAGCTTGTCCAAGAAATCTTCTCTTAAGATCTCAGAAAGAGAGATCTTGGTGATTATGCATCAGGTAAAACACGTATGCAACTTTCATCTAAAATCAAGTATAGAGAGTTTCTTATATACATACCAAGTACCAAGTTTTGTACCGTGTTGTTTCTTACAGATAGCTAAGGCATTACAGTTTGTGCATGAGAAAGGAATAGCTCATTTAGATGTAAAACCCGACAATATTTATATTAAGAATGGTGTTTGCAAGCTCGGTGACTTCGGCTGTGCAACGCGGTTGGACAAAAGCTTACCAGTAGAAGAAGGGGATGCACGTTACATGCCTCAAGAGATACTAAACGAAAACTACGCGCACCTCGATAAAGTCGACATCTTCTCTTTGGGCGTCACGGTATACGAGCTGATTAGAGGATCGCCTCTTACAGAATCAAGAAACCAATCCCTCAATATCAAAGAAGGCAAACTTCCTCTTCTTCCTGGCCATTCGTTACAGTTACAGCAACTGCTTAAGGTACGCTATTTGCTTACTTATCTCTGTGTTTTTATGGCGGTCCCGAGCATTTGAACATAGCATACAAGACATGATTTCTAACATGTTTTTTGAAACAGACAATGATGGATCGTGATCCAACGCGTCGTCCTTCTGCTAGAGAATTAATGGACCATCCCATGTTCGATAGGATTCGAGGTTGATTCGTAGTTTCTCTCAGATGTTGAGAAACTAAATTTTGTAAATTATGGTACCAATGATGGGAGGGTATTGTACTGCTCCCAGCACCAGGTTGATTTTTGGGGGAAACTAATGGCGTAAAAAGGTACCATAATCTTGGTTTCGGCACAAAAGATCCGGTTAACCAAAAAATTGAGAAGAAACGTATATGTTTATTTTGTGTTGTAATTTTACGGCTTTTGTATATTTGCTTGTTATCAATCTAAGATGACATTTTTATCTGAACTAAATTTGTTTCTAGGTCACAGAATGGTAGAATAATTGAAAGCAAAATAGAACGTTGATTTTATTTTTGGTTTGGTCAAACGTCTAAGCTTAGAATGATAAAAAAATATATATCTATCCATTCTTTCACATATGTGAAGTAAAAATCATACGTTGTAATCTCTCATTGATTTGAAGGTGGCTAATTATTATTCTATCCTTAATAAAATTTATATAATATGTCCCTTACCATCGATCGATTCGTTTCTAAAATATTATTGGGCTTAGTATGCTAAACAGATTTTGTTCAGGCCCACGTATATGCATCTAGGATTCGCTGATGTAAAACATTTTTTTTTGG